ACTCAACCAACTCATGGTCACTGCCTCCCAGATTCCCATCCACTTTTGCTTCCCCTACTAATTCTTCCCGGTTTGTGAGCAGCAGGTCAAGAAAAGCTCCCCCCCTAGTTGGCTCCTCTAGCACTTGCACCAGGAAATTGTCCCCTACGCTTTCCAAAAACTTCCTGGATTGTCTATGCACCGCTGTATTGCTCTCCCAGCAGATATCAGGAAAATTGAAGTCACCCATGAGAACCAGGGCGTGCGAGCTAGTAGCTTTTGCGAGTTGCCGGAAGAAAGCCTCATCCCCCTGGTCCGGTGGTCTATAGCAGACTCACACCACTACATCACTCCTGTTGCTCACACTTCTCAACTTAATCCAGAGACACTCAGGTTTTTCTGCAGTTTCGTACCGGAGCTCTGAGCAGTCATACTGCTCCCTTACATACAGTGCTACTCCCCCACCTTTTCTGCCCTGCCTGTCCTTCCTGAACAGTTTATAACCATCCAGGACAGTACTCCAGTCATGTGAGTTATCCCACCAAGTCTCTGTTATTCCAATCACATCATAATTCCTTGACATCACCAGGACCTCCAGTTCTCCCTGCTAGTTTCCAAGGCTTTGTGCATTCGTATATAAGCACTTGAGAGAACCTGCTGATTGCCCCTCATTCTCAGTAGGCAGGAGCCCTCCCCTCGCAGACATTCCTATCTGTGCTTCCTCCCGGTATCCCGCTTTCCCACTTACCTCAGGGCTTTGGTCTCCTTCCCCCGGTGAACCTAGTTTAAAGCCCTCCTCACTAGGTTAGCCAGCCTGCTCGCAAAGATGCTCTTCCCTCTTTTTGTAAGGTGGAGCCCGTCTCTGCCCAGCACTCCTCCTTCATGGAACACCATCCCATGGTCAAAGAATCCAAAGCCTTCTCTCCGACACCACCTGCGTAGCCATTCGTTGACTTCCACAATTCGACGGTCCCTACCCAGGCCTTTTCCTTCCACGGGGAGGATGGACGAGAACACGACTTGCGCCTCCAACTCCTTTATCCTTCTTCCCAGAGCCACGTAGTCCGCAGTGATCCGCTCAAGGTCATTCTTGGCAGTATCATTGGTGCTCACGTGGAGAAGCAGGAAGGGGTAGCGATCCAAGGGCTTGATGAGTCTCGGCAGTCTCTCCATCACATCGCGAATCTTAGCCTCCGGCAAGCAGCAGACTTCTCGGTTTTCCCGGTCAGGGCGGCAGATAGATGACTCAGTCCCCCGGAGGAGAGAGTCCCCGACCACCACCACCCGCCTCCTTCTCTTGGGAGTGGTGGTCGTGGAACCCCCCGTCTCAGGACAGCGCATCTCATGCCTTCCAACCAGCGGAGTCTCCTTCTGCTTTCTCCCCCCAGACATATCATCTGGTCCACTCTCCGCAACGGTACCTGTGTAGAGAACATGAAAGTGGTTAGTTACCTGTGTCAGTGTTGCTGGAACCCAGACATTCCCCCTTCTTCTTCTGGAGGTCACATGTTGCCAAGCTTCTTCACTGGCCTCTTGGCTCCTCTGTGCAACCTGCTCTAAATCTTTAGAGCTTTGTGCCCCTAGAAGCATATCCTGACTTTTGTCCAGAAAATTAACATAACATCACTGTATCCCGGAGTGGGCAAACTTTTTGGCCCAAGGGCCATATCGGGGAATAGAAATTGTATGGCGGGCCATGAATGCTCACAAAATTGGAGTGGGGATGCGGGTTCCAGGGTGGGGCTGGGGATGAGGAGTTTGGGGTGTAGGAGGGTGCTCCAGGCTGGGACCGAGGGGTTCGGAGGGCGGGAGGGGGATCAGGGCTGGGGCATGGGGATTGGGGCATGGGGAGAGGCTCGGGGTGCAGGCTCCGAGTGGCGTTTACCTCAAGCAGCTCCTGGATGCAGTGGCATGTCCCTTCTCCGGCTCCTACGTGGAGGTGCAGCCAGGCAGCTCTGTGTGCTGCAGCATCCGCAGGCACTGCCCTCGCAGCTCCCATTGGAGAGCTGGAGGGGGCCATTATAGCGCGTAGTAGTTGGAGCGGGGCCGTGCCGACCCCTGCTATATCTCCTTGTTTAACTGAGGACATGTGCCCTGCAGAACAATCAGAAGTCTGGAATAATGGAACTATGCTGCATGAAGTTCCCTCGTTTTCTTTTCACCCCCACGTTTATTGAATGTGAGCTAGAACATTGCTGGAAGAATGTTATGGAAACAGTTAAGAGAGCAACAATGAAAATGTGGCTTTCAGAGGCCACATTTTCACGCTTTTCCCTACAGTCATGAGGGCTAGAAACTTAGCTTCTTTTTACAAAATGAAAGCTGAGATTCTCAAAATCACATGATTCCAGTAGCTGGGGCTTTAAATATTATGAGACTTATAGTACTGAAGAGTTGGGAACAGTGAAGGTCTCTACAGAGAAATAGCTATCCTTCTCTCTGATCTGTGCTCTCATGTCTAGATGTTGTCTTTTGACAACACACCATTAAGAAGGAACTTGCACTTCCTTCATTATATTGAAATAGTGTCTTTTTTTAAATGTCTGTGACGTAGCCCAGGGTATAGTCTGGACTGTTGAATTGCTGTGTCCCTTTAATTTTCCAGCCCAGAGTGCCTTTTACACTGCTCTGCAGTGAAAAGCCACCAACATGTAAAGTCACTTCCAGCCAAGTTACATGAATGCTCTTCCAGCCACTCATGAACTACATATAGGGCGCTACCTGCAAATTCTTGGTCCCAGCCTTGCGCTCAAGAAATGTACATCTTGCACTGTCCAGCACACTACTGAACAATGCAAGCTCGTTAATAGCTCGTCACTTCATCAGAGGAAATGATTATGCACCAGCCTTTGTTAACGTGAGTAGAGATTCCCCAAACACTTCAAGCAAAACACACTGGTTTAGATAAAACAAATTTATTAACTAAAGGAAGATAGATTCTAAGTGATAAGACATAAAGGTCAGAATTGGTTACAAAAGAAATAAAACATAAACACGCAAGCTATTTCCTAAGCTTTACCAAGGTGAATTGTTCTAAAAGCAAAATAGTTTTTCTCACTCAAAAGCTTTCAGCAGTCTGTATTGGCTGGAAATCCTCAACCATGATAGCGACGTTAACAAGGCCAGCTTACTATAAAGAACTCAAAGAAGACCCCATACCACACTTTACCCAGGAGTTTAAGGATATCATCTAATCCTTTCCCCCCAAAAATCCAAGAGAAACTCTACAAACTCATCCCCCGATCTTAGGAGACTTGCAGCCCTGTTTCCAGACTGAAGGGGCTTGGCTAGCCAAATGGGCCCACACCACTGGTGGCTACTTGTGGCTATCCTTAAATGTGCTTAGAAGAGACTGTGACACTCTGTACCCTAAAGCAAGTCCCTGGCACCCCCAAATTCACCATAGTAATAGAATTAGAATATGTTTTGTACAAAACGTGCTTTGTAAGGGATCATTCTAAAAGTCTTGATCTGTTGAACATTGATATCCTGTTGGATTGTATATGCTGTTGTATCTGAAGTTGTGAATATTGACTATGTACTAGTATTTAAAATGTGTTTGCTCCTGGAGTGACACCCACAAGCTAGTTTACATCCAGTTTAGTCAGCACATTGGGAATGGACTATAAGGTGGATAGAAAGCTGGCTAGATCATCGGGCTCAACAGGTAGTGATCAATAGCTCCGTGTAATGGTCTCATGTTGCAGTGGGGGAGGTTTAGGTTGGATATTAGGAAAAACTTTTTCACTAGGAGGGTGATGAAGCACTGGAATGGGTTACCTAGGGAGGTGGTGGAGTCTCCTTCCTTAGAGGTTTTTAAGGCCCGGCTTGACAAAGCCCTGGCTGGGATGATTTAGTTGGGGTTGGTCCTGCTTTGAGCAGGGGGTTGGACTAGATGACCTCCTGAGGTCCCTTCCAACCCTGATATTCTATTATATTTAAGCTGATGGCCCATTAAGTAACACAATAGGCCTTAGAAGAAGCTTGTGCCCACCCTCTGGATAATGGATGCTATGACTTATCGAAGCACGCAATGGCATGTGACCAGATCATGGGACACTGGACTCCATCTTGTGCCTGTAGTTTTCCATGAACTGTGCTGTGGGCTTTGTTTGGGACAATGAAGTTTCTGCCACATGGGAGAAGCTATTAAAGGAGGAAGTGATATAATCACTTGTCCTCACTCCCCCCAGAACTTAACACCTGGAACAAAGACTGGGCTGGGGAGGTGGTCCCAGGTGGGAAGGGAGGAATCCTAGCCTGTGTATGGAAGATTGGTGAACTGTTTGTACCACCGGGGTGAGACACTGCTTGATTCAAATCTTGTCTAGTGTATAGAACTTAGATTGCGATTTTGTTTTATGTCTTAGGTAACCTGCTTTGATCTCTTTGCTATTACTTATAATCACTTAAAATCTGTTTTATATTTTACCTAAAAACAGTGTAGTTTGAGTGAAGTGCATGAAAAAAATCTTAGCTCAGTTAATAAAAATCTGTTCATGTCCTCTCCGCATTGAGGGAGGGGCGGACTGTGTAATAAACTTACACTGGTCAGGTTTTTGACCAGGGCAGGATGGTACAGTTCTGGGGTCCTAGGCTGGGGAGCTGGGGGGAATTAACTGGAGCCTCTCTCTTTTTGGTTCAAGAGTGGCTGGCGAAAGTGGGGTGTGTCCCTCCCTGTGAATGCTTATGTGAGTGCAGGACCTTGAGGGGTTTGCAGCTTGTCACGTTATCACAGTGTGAAAGGGAGTGCAGGTTGGTGAGACAGAGGGCTCAGTGGTACCCCAGTTCCACGTTGCACCCCAGGAATGCCCATCACAGACACTCATACATATTTGTAGTAAAAACCAATGAGCTGGAAACCAGTAGTTTGGCTGTGTCCTCTGAGGCATGGCACACATTTTACATACCATGAACCAATGGGCTACTACGTGGTGGCTGTTGGAGAGTAGGCCTGAACTTTGCAATTATTTTATTCCTCTCAATATTAAAGTGCGTGTTTAACTTTGTCTTTGGCTCAGGACTGGGCTTTTTTGTCCTCTGATGTCTTTGCTGGGATGAAGATTGATCCCAAAACTCTGGTGAAGAAGTTGGATTTGGACTCCCGAAGCATTGTCTCAGCCCAGACAGGTAAGGGGTGCTCTGTAGGGAGCGATAACTGCCAGACTGAGCACCTCTCTTCTGTAAGAGAGGGGGCTGCTTGTACCTGCTGCAGGGTTGGCTGGATTTCAGTTGCCTTGTTGGGATCTCAGGACTGAGGTTCTGTACCCACTGGGATCTTGTATCATGCTCATAGCTAGGCATATAGCTATGTGCATGTTGAATCAGGTGACCATCAGAAGTAAACATGAAGAAGTCAGTGCTGTTATTCCTTTGCACCTCTGAGCCCCGGTGAAATCTGGTGGTGGCCTGAAGGAAGAGCAGGTGTGCAATCACAGAATATAAACGTGTTCTGAGCTGAGTAGTTAGTGCGGATTCAAACACTAGCCATCTTAGATTGTAGAAAGACTCCTGCGAGTAACCTCACTTACCTTAGCTGTGTTTGGATGTGTGTGTTCAGCATCTAGCCTTGCGGTGCCTGTGAACAATTAATACAAGGAGAATGAAATCAGCTGCTGAATTCTGATGCATGCATGACCTTGGGTCCGAGGAGAGGGTTTTAAAACTGGGTTCCAAGTGAGGGTTGGAGGTGGCAGTTAAGCTTTTGCCTTGCTCTTCATTGAGCCTTCCCTGCCCTTCTTTGGGTCCGTCATAAAACAAACTGTGAGAAGAAAGCGGGAGGGAGGAAGAAGAGTGAGGACTGGGAGGGAGCACTATGGACCCTCATCTGTTCTGTCTCCACAGGATGCTGAGTGGCGGCCAAGCCGACTCCACTCTCACGTTCCGAAGCGGAAAGTGGGTGCGAAGCTAATCTCAGTTCTGGGCTGGAACTATGGCTCAATGTACACTGTGATTCTCATAAAAAGAAAAGGAGGACTTGTGGCACCTTAGAGACTAACCAATTTATTTGAGCATGAGCTTTCGTGAGCTACAGCTCGCTTCATCGGATGCATACTGTGGAAAGTGTAGAAGACATTATATACACAGAGACCATGAAACAATACCTCCTCCCACCCCACTCACCTGCTGGTAATAGCTTATCTAAAGTGATCGCTCTCCTTACAATGTGTATGATGATCAAGGTGGGCCATTTCCAGCACAAATCCAGGTTTTCTCACCCCCTCCCCACCCCACACAAACTCACTCTCCTGCTGGCACTTCTCCCTCTGGGGTAGAAGTGCCAGCAGGCAGGAGAGTGAGTTTGTGTGTGTGAGGGGGGGGGGTGAGAAAACCTGGATTTGTGCTGGAAATGGCCCACCTTGATTATCATACACATTGTAAGGAGAGTGATCACTTTAGATAAGCTATTACCAGCAGGAGAGTGGGGTGGGAGGAGGTATTGTTTCATGGTCTCTGTGTATATAATGTCTTCTGCAGTTTCCACGGTATGCATCCGATGAAGTGAGCTGTAGCTCACGAAAGCTCATGCTCAAATAAATGGGTTAGTCTCTAAGGTGCCACAAGTCCTCCTTTTCTTTTTGCGAATACAGACTAACACGGCTGTTACTCTGAAACCTGTGATTCTCATAAGCATTTTCTTGTCCAAGTTTATTTTCTTCCTGAAAATTAATAGTGGTAACAAATAGCATGCAGTGCCTTTGCTTTCCTTCACCATTACAGCCAGCCTGAGTCCTCTTGCATCAAACGGGCTAAAAACAAAACCTGCCAGTATCGCAGGCAGGGTAGTGATTGGTGGTGACGTGGAGCAGCCCGAGTGCACGGATCGATGGTGTTGGTACTGTGGCGTGAGGGAGCAGCAAGGTTGGATCGGGACACGTTAGCCCACGAAGGCAGCCTCCTGTGCCGGTGTTAGGTGCTTTGTTCCATGACCGACTTGCCTCTGTCTGTGTGTCAGGAGGGCTGGGGGGAGAGGTACATAACCTACCTTTGTCATTTGCGTAAGCCATAGACTGTCACAGGCTGGCAGTCTGAGTCTCCCACTGCAGACCACAGCTGTACGCTGGCAGCTAGGCCTGGTTTATAAATAGACCCGTGCTGCTGGTCTCCATGGAGCGCTGATGATGCAGATGTGCAGTGCCTGGCAATATTTAACCCTCTCCTGAGATTCTAAAGGCTGCTTTCTTCCAGACCGCGGTGTGCTGACCCCCCCACCTTCTGTTCAGCCTCTTCCTTTCGACTGAGGCTTTTGGGACCGAAGGCTGTGACTGGAGACCAGTGGGGCAGAAAGGAGGTGCTTTTTCTTCCCTCCCTGGGCCCCTTCCTCTCCTGTTGCTCTGGAACCCACGGGCATTGGCTTGCTATGGAAATCCGTTCACATTTTTTGTATGAATTCAGTGAACTCTAGCTGGGTCTTGCCTACAGCAGCTGACCACCCCAGAGGGAGAAGAGAAGGGTCAGCCAGTATGAGAGGTATGTGCTTTGTCCCCAGGGATCACTGTGCGCAGGGGAGAGCATCCCCCGCGGGGAGTTCAGCCTGATTTCTCCCGTGGCCTTGGATCTGTGGGTGGAGGTGAACAGGAATTCTCCTACACACGCTGTTGTTTTAAGGCTCAGTAGCAAAGCACAGAAGTGTTTCTCTCCCACCCGCTTTGCCAGCCCTGAGAAGGTTGGGTTCACAGACTCCGCCAGTACCCTGCTGCGGGTCCAGGAAGAGCGCAGGAGAGGCTGGACTTTGCTCCATTTGAAAGCGGCTACACCGCATTTGAAGTGGTTGTTTCCTGATGCCCTCGCTGCAGGAGTGTGCCGCGCTCTGTAAGCCTGACGTGGCCAGGGGTGCCTGCCCCTGCCCGGAGCTGTGTGAATCGCCACGTCCTGCGGGCAGCGCCACACAGGGGGCTCTTGTCTGACTGCCAGCGACGTCCTAGCATCTGTGGCGGGGCTGCCGTGCGGAGGTGAAGGCAGGAGCCAGGCAAAGCCCCACGGGCTGCTTGGGGTGCTTCTGGAGCTGAAAGGGGCCTCGCCACCAGCAAGGGTCCGGACTGGCCCCACTGCTGGGGAAGAGGTGGATTTGGGCTCCAGCCACTGTGGCTCCGGTGTGCTCTGTGGGGCCAGGCTCCGTCCACACTGCCAAAACCCACCACGGCAGCGTCTCAGAGCCGGGCCTATAGGCTCGCTGCGGTGCCACCGGGAGGGGGGAGGTTGCGGAGCCTGCGCCCCTGCTGAGGGGGAACGGCCACCCTGCTAGGTCTAGCACTGCAGCGTGAGCCCCGGGCCCCGAGACTGGCTGCTGCTTGTGTGGCTTCTTTGGTGGCAGCGTAGAGCCAGGGAGTGGGGAGGCCCCATCTCTGCAGCTCCTGGCTCGTCGGGGCTAGGGAACGGCTCTTATTGCTTCCAGACTGGTCAGAGGCGGAGAGCCCAACAGCTGCTGCCCTGGGGGGCTGACTGGCAGGGACAAAGGGCTCTGGGGTTTCCCTTCCTATTTCTCTGCGTAGAATGAGACTGGCTGCCGGAGTCTCTGCTTCCCACCAGTGGTCTAGCTAACCCATCTCCCAGATGTCCCGGGTCACCTCTTCCTCTCCCGGTGTTCTGAGTCCTGCCCTCTGGCTCCCCACATTCCCTTGATCTGCCCCCCGCTTTGATTCCTCCTGTCCATCTGGTCTCCCCCGCCCCTTCCCAATGATACTGCCAAGAATGACCTTGAGCGGATCACTGCGGACTACGTGGCTCTGGGAAGAAGGATAAAGGAGTTGGAGGCGCAAGTGGTGGTCTCGTCCATCCTCCCCGTGGAAGGAAAAGGCCTGGGTAGAGACTGTCGAATCATGGAAGTCAACGAATGGCTACGCAGGTGGTGTCGGAGAGAAGGCTTTGGATTCTTTGACCATGGGATGGTGTTCCAAGAAGGAGTGCTGGGCAGAGACGGGCTCCATTTTACAAAGAGAGGGAAGAGCATCTTTGTGAGCAGGCTGGCTAACCTAGTGAGGAGGGCTTTAAACTAGGTTCACCGGGGGAAGGAGACCAAAGCCCTGAGGTAAGTGGGAAAGCGGGATACCAGGAGGAAGCACAGGCAGGAACATCTGTGAGGGAAGGGCTCCTGCCTCATACTGAGAATGAGAGGCAATCAGCAGGTTCTCTCAAGTGCTTATATACGAATGCACAAAGCCTTGGAAACAAGCAGGGAGAACTGGAGGTCCTGGTGATGTCAAGGAACTATGACGTGATTGGAATAACAGAGACTTGGTGGGATAACTCACATGACTGGAGTACTGTCCTGGATGGTTATAAACTGTTCAGGAAGGACAGGCAGGGCAGAAAAGGTGGGGGAGTAGCACTGTATGTAAGGGAGCAGTATGACTGCTCAGAGCTCTGGTACGAAACTGCAGAAAAACCTGAGTGTCTCTGGATTAAGTTGAGAAGTGTGTGCAACAAGAGTGATGTAGTGGTGGGAGTCTGCTATAGACCACCGGACCAGGGGGATGAGGTGGACGAGGCTTTCTTCCGGCAACTCACAAAAGCTACTAGATCGCACGCCCTGGTTCTCATGGGTGACTTCAATTTTCCTGATATCTGCTGGGAGAGCAATACAGCGGTGCATAGACAATCCAGGAAGTTTTTGGAAAGCGTAGGGGACAATTTCCTGGCGCAAGTGCTAGAGGAGCCAACTAGGGGGGGAGCTTTTCTTGACCTGCTGCTCACAAACCGGGTAGAATTAGTGGGGGAAGCAAAAGTGGATGGGAATCTGGGAGGCAGTGACCATGAGTTGGTTGAGTTCAGGATCCTGACACAGGGAAGAAAGGTAAGCAGCAGGATACGGACCCTGGACTTCAGGAAAGCAGACTTCGACTCCCTCAGGGAACGGATGGGTAGGATCCCCTGGGGGACTAACATGAAGGGGAAAGGAGTCCAGGAGAGCTGGCTGTATTTCAAGGAATCCCTGTTGAGGTTACAGGACAAACCATCCCGATGTGTCGAAAGAATAGTAAATATGGCAGGCGACCAGCTTGGCTTAATGGTGAAATCCTAGCGGATCTTAAGCATAAAAAAGAAGCTTACAAGAAGTGGAAGGTTGGACATATGACCAGGGAAGAGTATAAAAATATTGCTCGGGCATGTAGGAATGAAATCAGGAGGGC